TTTTTTTTTTTTTTTTTTTTGGTGGATAGAACTAAGAATTCCTTATGGACAACACATACTGATAATTCTGTCAAGGAGTTGAACCTTCAATGGAAGGAAAGGCAAAGAGGATGGGATAAAGCAGGAATGGAGACAAAAGGAGGGAAAGGAAATCGCAGAAGATGCACAGGTAGAAGGATCAAGAGCCAATCAAATGGAAAGCAACTAAGAACAGAACACGGAAGCAAGGAAAACGCAGAAGCCCTGCTTACGTCATGAGGCAGAAGGTACAGCAGTTCACATAAATCAGCAAGGCCCAAAGAAACAGGAGGAGTCAGAAGCAGAGACGGGGAAACCATCATGCTGAGTTGAGATACTGCTCCCTCCCCTGTTTCTGACCAGAGCTATTCTGACTGGGGCAAAAGGTATTTTTTTTAAAAATTAGTCAAAACTAAATTTGGACAAGGTACTAAATAATATTAATGAGCTAATAATTTTGTTAGGTGTAATACTGAAATTGTGCATCAGTTGAAACTGTACATTTGTTAAAGTAAAATTGTAGATATGTACATACATCCTTTGTTTTGTTCTGTTTTTGTTTTTTTAACACAGGGTCTCACTACCTAGTCCAGGCTGGCCTCAAATTCAGAATGATCTTCCTGCCTCAGCTTCCCAAGTGCTGGGAGTACAGGTGTGTCCCACTATGCCTGGACATGTTATCCTTATGTGTTACAGATGCCCACTGAAGTATCTGAAGGTGAAATGATGTAGCTGGATTTGCTGCAAGCCACTCTAGCAGGAAAGAGTTAAGTGAGGCCAACAGAAGCGACAGGAAGTGAATGTGGATGGACAATCACAGCTCCCAATAAGCCCTGGAATGAGCAGTCAGAGCCAATGCTGAGAAGAGCAATGCTGGCGCAGGGATGGAGGGGTCATGTACAGGGCCAGCAGATCTGAAGAATATTCCCTGTGAAAATGTAACCCTTAGAGAGGGCCAATTTTCCCAGAGGAACCAGCTGAGGCTCTAGTCCCCTGGAATGCAATGTCAGGAATGAGCTATTCATAGTTTGGATGCAAAAGGTAAATGGCACTCACCTAAAGCTCAACAGCCAGCAACCTGGGAGTCCTCCCGTTTTCCAGCAGGCAGTCCTCCCTGGGCATCCAGGGACTAAGGGAAGCAGAAGAACAACAACAAAAAAAAGGTTCAGGAAAGTCACCGGAAGTCCTCAAGCTCCAATAGGGTAGCACCTCCTCTTTCTTAAAGACATCAGGAATGAATCTGGCACAGAATAGAAGGGAAGAATTATGGGCCACTTCCCAGTACTGGGATGTAGTCAGGCTTCCCTGAAAGGCTGTTGTCACTGAGCAAGAGACGGTCCTCTGCACCTGTTACCATAAACAAAAGGTAAGACCCACTGAGCACTGAATATACACCAGAGACTGTCCTGGGCACCAGATGAGACTGACCTCATTTATCCTTACAACATTCCAATGAAGCAGAAGCTGCTATCATTTTATACACGAAAACATTAAGGTGCAGTGAGATCAGTATCCTGGTCAAGGTGACAAAGCTATCAAGTGACAGCTGGTAGAAATCTGGCTTTAGAGACTTGAAGGTTGTAAGGCTTCTCCATGCGCCCAATTTAAGATACACCAGGACTGGTCACGAGGTCTTTAAGTGTTCAGTCTGAGTAACAAGTCTGTGGAGTTCTAGATACTTCTGGCTATCTCAATTTCTCCATAATGAAACATTAAAGTGGCATTTAAAATTCTGTGATTTTTGTGGTCAGTGATTGTCGTCAGGGCCTTAGAAAATCTTGGGAGTGGGCCCAGCTCGGCTTCCTCCTACAAGGCGGGAACCCAGAGGCAGCCAGACAGATTGAGATCCTAAAATCGCCCCACTGCAGCCAACGCACATCCATCGAACCTGAGCTTGATCGGCTATGCTCCCCTTTCCCACTCTGCCTCAGCAAGACCTGGGGGGTGGACTACCAGCCCCCAACCGACAAACCTCTGGGACACAGGGCCCTAGGGACAATCCTATCCAGTCTAGAGAGTATCAAAGCCTGGAAACTTAGGGCATGAACGACCCCTTTCTCTAAGCCGCAATTTCAACTTAGGCCGACCCTGTCTCCACCCACAAGAATCTTCGGACAGAATGCCTGAGGCTGGCACTCACGTACCACCCAGTTTCACGGCAGAGATTCACTCAACTCCGCCAAGACTGCACCTACACCCCTGAAATGAGACATCCGGGAGAGCATGGCCGAGCAGCCGGCGCGTCCCCTCACACTCCTCTCTCTGAGCATCCGCACTGACCCGGGGCTCTTCCCACAGACCAGCCTTTCAGGACCTTCCTTTCCGGGCAGAAAAGGGTATGGCTGCAGCAAGAAACCTGAGTTGAAGCTTCACTCACCAGCGCCACCAAAGAACAAGGAATAGCTCCAGCCACCAGCTGGGGATCGCCTACAAGAGGGGGGTCAGGACTACACCTCCCAGGATGCTCCGCCCCTGAGCCATATCTCCCGGGATGCTAGGCGCAACCCCAAGCGTGATGCTTCTGGGTAACGTGGCTCTCTCAGCTGGAATCCCCTCCTTTCTCTTAAAACCGTGTCCATGATGGGCCCGGGGATTTAGCTCAGTAGAAAACATGGAGCTACCCAGGTAAAAGTCCTTGCTCTGCCGAGACCCTGTCCTTCAGGGCCTCTGTTTCCAAGACTACATTCCCCGGTGGCCCCCACAGTGACTTCCGCATTTAGTTTCGGCCCACCCCCGCCGCGAGAGGAAATGACGTAAGGGGACTTTTTTTTTTGGCTTCCAAGGTTACTTGGTGTCTGTGGCGATCAGACTTACTTTTTATCTGGCTGGTTGCTGGGTTCACTTCTGGTACACCGGGTTTCTGAGACCGCACCCTGAAGCCGAAGGCCCTCTGGAGGGTTCTCTAAATGCTTTTTCCTGTTATTAGAATCAAGGAACTTATAGGTTATTTTCTCCTGGAGACAGAAGCCTCAATTTTAGGCCATGGCTTGGAGATGCGCCTGGTTACAGCTCTTGGTCTGGTTCCATGGGACTTTGTTCAGCATCTTGGTCGAGTACAGGGCTGTGCAACAATTTGGGAGCTTAGGGAAAGCCCTTCTTCATTCCTGGGAGGGCTTTTCCTCCTGGGCACCCACCTTGCTCAGATCTACTGTGATACGATGTGACACTTCAGGAAGGCCAAGGAAATGACCGCATGGCCAGGAGATTCTGGGAGAGATGAGAATAACCTCAAGTCTTTTTCTGAATCTTTTTCTCTTCTTTTACCTCAGGCTGTATTGTTCATTATGAATTTAGTTCAGTTCTGGCCCCAAAATACCCAGTCTTGCAGAGCACATTTTCCTTGACATCTTTCTCTACTCCACCCAAGATTCACCAAGTCAATCAGCTTCTTTTAGATCTCTATGCACATGTTAGACCATTTGATATTGTCCCAGTTGAGGCTGTGAACCAGATTTATTAATTTCTATTGATTTGTCTTAAAGTTTACTTCACAGCTTCAATATTTTAAGTGCATTTGGTAAATTTTTAGTTTCATTATGTTTTTAGTTCTAGAATTCCCACTTCAGCTGGGCATGGTGGCACAGGTTTGTAATCCTGGCATTCAGGAGACTGAGACAGAAGATTGCTCTGAGTTCAAGGCCAGCCTGGGCTCCATAGTGAGCCAAGGCCAGACCAGCCTGAACATATAGCAAGACCCTGTCTAAAATAAAACAAAAGCCCACTTAGTTTTTTTTGTTTGTTTGTTTTCACAGTTTCTGCTTTTCAGCAAGGAGTTCCATCCCTACTTGTTCATTTAATATCTTTACAATAGGTCTGTAAAATGTTTGCTAAAAACCTCTGGGTCATCTTGGGATTTTTTTTTTTTTTTGACAGTGTGACACACTTGTGTTATAGTTGAGTGGGCCAAAAATAGTCCAGATATCTGTGTATGACAAGAAAAGAATTGCCAAGTGTACACCTATATAGTAAATAGCTACATTTATTGAAGAATACAGGACAGTAGTAGGAACAGGGAGAAGGGTAAAGTGAAAAAGGGACTGGAGGGCAAAAGGAGAAAGGGCCCTGAATGTAAAGGAGAAGAAAAAGGAATTTAGGTCAAGCTTCTGGTATTTAGAGGGTCAGACACCACTGATCCAAGGTTACTCCCCACTATCTTTCTGATAGCAGCAATTTCTGTGACCTCCTAAGTTTAAACCTGCATAATCATTAGGCTAGTGGTGTTTGGCTTATGGTTGAATGGAGAGACAGGAAGTGGCTCACACAACTTCCCTATTTTAGGATTTTGGAAACATGGATAATTATTAAGGTGGTGCAGTGTTTACAGCTGAATGAAGGGAAGGGAGTGACTCACTGAGCTCCTTTGTTTCTAACTGCACTATTCCCCCCAGAGCTCTGACCCCTGAAAATCTTTGAGGGGAGTTGAAAGAGAAGTTCCATCTTCTATAGCTACTTCTAGCCGGAATAGGGGCATTGTCTGTACCTACACAGAGACCAAGGAACTCTCTTCCTGACTGATCTAGGAGTTCAAGGGAGTGAGCCCTTCCTCTGAAGATTTCTTGAACCATGAATGTGGAAGCAAGTTATGATTTCAAATTATGATCACCACCAGTAGTTTCTGATGGCTTGTCTGGCAGTTTAAAGTAGATTTCCTCTGTGTGATCACTTGGGGTTTGGCAGTCTCTAGGCAAGAATTAACAAACTTTACCAAAAGATTAAGGTATGTGTGACCAATGCATGAGCACTAGAATGGAAAGGTAGGTTGGGGAAAGAGTGTGGTGGATTAAATAATAATGGTCAACTTGGAATGCCCAGCTGAACTGGATCAGCATGGTCTGGATGTGGAAGACCTCTGTGAGGCTTGTTGCCAACAGCATAAAAAGAGAACTGGAGGGAAAGATCATTGCCTGTTGATTTTCTTGGAGAAACTTGGTTTTCCTGATGCGAGCTTGGCTGTTCTCATCTGGGGAGGAGCTGGGGGCCTCGCTGTCACTGGGAATTGTGGGGATCATGAGTATTGGTTGTAAGTACTGTTAACTCTAGTAACTCCATATGTGTTAAGCTTCTCCAGTTGAGCAGGTAGAGTGTTTCCTTTGTGGAATTCCTGAAAGTTACAGTTTCTTGTCTCTGACCTTTAGATGTGTGGTTGTCCGGGTTACTACTACTCACGGTGGGTTGTTTTGGTGAACCTGTTTGCTCTTTTCCTGTGTGACCTTTCAGTTACTATGGTAAACCCATCCCATAATAGTTTGT